AGAAAAGGAGAGAGAGTTCTGTGCCTGCTATTTCAGTAGCCACGTCCTCAGCTAAGCCTTGAGTGAAGCTGAGGTTGAGGAGCGATTGCAGCTACCCAAAAGGGACTTCTCTAGGATTGCAAGAGGCAGCCTTCCCACACCCACCACTTAGGAATCTTGGTTTACCCTTCTATCTTGAAGGAACAGCAAACCAAGATCATAGTAACCATGAATTTTTAAGAAATGAGAATGAGATGTGGGAAACTAAGCTTCAGGAGAGGAGTCCAAATTTAGGCTTAAGGGAATGTTTACAGTTTAAAGCTTTTTAGAACTAGATCAAATGCTAAGAAACAGCAGCATACAGACCCACTCTGCAGCAGGACAAGTTGAGAAAATCCTCTTGGAGGACCATTTCTATGCTGAGCAGGACATTCTGGAAGAAGCAGTTGTACATCCAGAGTTGCTTTAGGATACTGGGTAAAATAGGAGTGGGTTTTTTCCAACTACATCAGTACATATATGAACAGCATCATAATCTTTACACACAATGTGGGAAAATGATATCTATATGGCTTTTCATTGCTTTCCCAAATCACTCCCAACTCATCTGCATCCTCATTCAGGCAGATTAACAAATTCCATTCGTCTAAATGAGTCAAATATTATGCGAGGTGCGTGTAAAGAATAAAACATCACAGAATTCTAGAAAGATAGAATGGCAAAGCTAGAAAGTTCATCTAGTCTAACCCTCTCATTTCACAGATAGATAAACTGAGGTACAGAGAAGTAAAGTGCCTGCTCAAAGTCACACAGCAAGTCAAGAACATAAGCCATTTAACTCATAGCCACTGCCTAGCTAGTATTACTGAGATCACCAGCACTTTGGGGTCCAGATTTAGACTTAGAATGAGTATTTGGGGCTACTAGACAGTAGTAAGCCAAGAATCCAGCCTCAACCAGCTACTCCAACTCAAACAACTATCTTCCCTGGTTGACTTCCAAATAGCCTAACCTCTCCTCCTCATGCCTTCCAGTATGAGTCAAGGCCTCAGTTTGGGACCCAGTTTGATTGGAGAGGAGGCAGATGTACCAGGCCCTGTGACCTGAAGCTCCATAACAGGCTCTGAATCGTCCCAATCTAGCTTCTCTGGACAGTAGGCAAAAGCCTTCGGTCAAAGGCAAAACATTGGTGGGTTTGCTCAAAAGATACATAGCTCCCAGATTCAGCAATTTAATGGTCAGCCCAGTGAGACACTGCACCAAGCAATGAAAGCCCCTAAGGTGAGGAAGAAAAAGACAGCCACTGGTCTCACCCATCCTTGGGACTCTGTTTGCCCAAAAGGCAGAGTGTACCACTTTCCCATGCTTAGAAAATGGTATCTTCATCAGAGTAGCCCATGAGCATGAACTATCTTGTGACCAACATTTTTGACCATTGTCCCTGTTCCTGGGTGATGAAAGCCCTAGCTATACTCTCCCCACCTGGGAGCCTGCAAGGACCATGCTTATAAACTGCCCAATAAAAGACACCTCCCATTATATTTTATGGCTCAGTGCTAAACTGGCAGTCCAGGTGGGAAATGCAGGGTAATAGGTTTACTCTGGAGCATGTTTAAAAAGACCTAAGCTCAGAGCTAATGTTAACAACTCTGACTTGTTCTCCCTTGTCCCCTGGACCACCAACCCTAACTCTGCCACAGCTCTAATTCAAGAGTTCCAATCATGAGCTGGGACCTGCAACCAATGCCACCTTGCTTCTCTTCCCCCTCTTTCCTTCAAAAGGCTCCCCTCTCCTCCCAGGAAGACATGTTATACTTTCCACCAATTTGCCTGGTTGCCCCTGTCCCATCTGCTGCTCAGTCTGGGTTGAAGGACTCCAAATTTCCCGAAAGCTCAACAAAAAGTATAAGCTCATTTCTTTCCTGATCTCCTTTTTTCCCTAAACCAGATCTTGGTCACTTGCCTCCGTCTCAGGAAACTTTCACCTGGCAGTCCTTCCAGGCCTAAGACACAAGGAAAGTTGGCTTTCCTTTCAAAACAGGTGAAGAGAAGGGACAAGATACACTGTTAATGTCACCAACAACTGCGTACATTAGAATCCACAGAGACTATACATTGAATGCCCTAGAATGGCTTCAGTTTCACTTGCTTTTTACTCTTTGTGACTTTTCCCCATGCCCAGAGACCTCTCCAATATGGATTTAGCCCCCAAACATCAAAACTACCTTTTCCTCCGGGTCCCTCAGAACAGTCCAAATCATCTGCAGAAATTTACACCCATTGTGCTAATCAGTGCAGGTTTAGGAGTGTGAAGATATTAGGGCTAGCCAAAGAGAATTTTGGTTGTGGAGTGCCTCCAAACATTACATTCATAAATTTTTATAGATGGAAGGCATGTCACACATTTATAGAAATAGACAATGCTCCAGCCTCCTTGACTGTGAGAGTGTATGTTTTGTGTTCCCCAGAATGGCTACTGGGAAAATACTGGCTCATAAAGATTTTGGCAAGCTTCTGCTGGCTTCTTCTATCCCTTTGAGAAAACAGCCCTGTAGCACAGGTGGCTGGGGCAATTTTGGGTAAACTGCAGGAAGTGTATGGAGGCAGAGACATTAGGAATCTCAGGACCTAAATGATTGCTTGAAAAAGCTGAGGGGCTCAAGAAAGGTAGTACTGAGGATGAAATTTTATAGGAGCTTGGGAATGTGGTCAGAGTGTTCCTCACTTTTCCCAATTAAAAACTGAGGTGCTCCTTAGACCCTTCAGTATCTAAAAAAAAAAACAAAAACAAAAAAACAAAAAAAAAAAAAAAAAAAAAAACCTTTCATGAATTGAAGACACACTCCAGCAAGGACCCAAGCCAAAATATTCGTAGACCCTCGGGACATACCAAATTCCTTTCTGACCCTTCTTGACCTACACTAACTAGAATTTAAACCGGTAACCACAGCCCTCCAGTGGACTTAGTCTGCATTAGAGCACACACCAGCCACACCTCTGCACAGCCCACCACACCCCTCTTCCCAGCTGCACTGTTAGGTCTTGACAGGAAAGTCCCAACCAGCCCTCCCTGTGAGGACCCCATGATCACCTGCTTTGAAGTTTGTTCCCCAGCAGAGAACCTCTTCCTGGTAAAATAGTGGTTATTCCAAGTTTTATTACACACTCCTAAGGCCTCAGCTCTAGGCCTGCTCGCACCACCTGAATGCTGGGCCTAGCTTCAGCCCATCCCCCACTATCTCCCATGAGGCTTCACCCAGAATTTGCCATTGACCCCAGAAGTGAACAGCCTGCTTTCAACCACAGAGCAATGCTCAGCAGGTGCCCTCCCAGGTAACCAAGACAACACCCAGAGGCCCTACCCTAGCTGCCTCCCCAAGAGCCCCTGAAGTGCATCAAAGCAGGAAAAGGTAATCCCAGGATTGAGCATGGCAGTAACTTCCCCACAGAAGTTGTTCTCCACAGTCCAGTGACCCACTCCACTCAGGCATCAATGCATCCTGGGCAGTCCTGAGACTGCCCTGGACAGCCACTGACACACACTCAAACTTTCAAGTGGGGCTCGCACACTGGCACCAACAGCTCACAATATCAGAAGCATCAAGAGCCCCCAGATCCCTTCTTTAAGAGCAGCTCAGTGAAACTAAAAACTAAAATACTGAGTTCTTGGTTGAGAGCAGTAGAAGAGGCTCTCCAAGGGCCCAGGGGACCCACAGGTGGACGTCCCATAATTCAGCGTTTCTATTTTCACTAAATAATCCTCCGGGACCCCTCAGAGAGCAGCGGATGTGTTGGGGGTGTGAGGGAACCCTTCAGCACAGGGCGATACTGTGAGAAGCCACATATTCTAAGCTGCAAACTTGCAGCAGGTCACAAATGCAGCTGTCCTGAGGAGCCACAAGAGGGAGCGAACCTTGAGGGAGAGGGCACGCCAAGCCTCTCAGCTCCCTTCCGAGACTCCTCAACAGAACTGCTGAGGGGCTTTGTCGGTGGCTTGCTGAGAAAACGGGATGGCTTCTTTGACTTCTCTGAGCTCACACGCGAGGTGCACACAAAGCCTGCCGTCTTGGGGCCACCGGCCTGGAGAGTGAGGACTATGCCTCCCAACCCTGCTTGTCTTAGGGAAAAGACCAAGTTCGCCTCATGCGAAAGGGGGAGAGGTGGAGGCGGCATTACAACTAAGGGTGAAAGAGGCACCCCAAGAATAGCAGAGAGGCGCGGGGCACCAGAGAGGGCATGGCTGAAGTTGAGGGCGGCGCAGAGTGAGCCACAGGGCCCCAGCCTGCCAGCTGCTTCACGCCTCTCTGGCCAAGAGACCTCGGAGACCGCCTCCTGCCTGCTTTGGGGTTCAGCACACACGGCACAGAGATCCGCTTGCTCCCTCAGAGTGGCAGAGGACAGCCGGGCCTGGCTGGGCCGTAACCAACGCGGGCAAAGAGACGTGCGCACACCCCCACTCGCACTCCCTCCCTTCCTCTCTGTACTGCAGACACACACGCCTGCCATGTGTTTGACTCTTCGCTCAGAGTCACCAGGATTCCTAAAGTGTCTGCTCCCCGAACAAGAACAGGGACTGCTTGCACAGATCTGCGGTACGGTGTTTCTTTTAAAGTCCTCCCAGCCTCCCAGCTCTCTTCTCTCTCCATGACTTCGGCCCCCCCCGAACCCCCCCCAAAAATATTTTGCAAATATTTTACCCCAGTACACACGGTCAGGGTTCTTCAAACTCAAAAGATGCATCTGGATTTGTCCCAGGGCAATAAAGTTCATTCCTTGCCCTGTGATCAATAAATGCCCCAGGTTCCACCCAGGATGTCTTGCGCTTAAGTGTCCACAGCCAAGGCTGCCCGGAGCCCCTCAGCACGCGCCGCGCCTTAGCAGCTCTACGGGCGATGAGCAAGGGGAGGAATCGAAGCGGCATGCTGGAAGGGCTCCCCGGACCAGGAGGTATGGGGTCGGTAGCAGTGGGAACAGAAACCCTTGCCTTGAGAATGCCAGGTGGGGCGCTCGGGGGCACTCACCTGCTTGGAACTCCACTTGGCGATTCTTCTCTCTTTCCTCCTGCAGCAGCATGGAGTAGAGGATCCCGAAGGAGTTCTGGATGCCAAAGATAGAGCCGTTGCACCAGGTGGCAGCGAAGACCACCATCCAGCCAAAGCCACCTTCGGGAGGCTGGAAGCCGCGCGCTGTACCACGGGTCTCCACGGTGGGCGTGGGCTCGGATTCGTGCACCAGCTCAGGCTCAAACTCCAGCTCCGGCAGAGTGGCAGGGTCTGGTAGGGGCTGGGGCTCCGGCTGGGGCTCCGGCTGGGGCTCCGGCTGGGGCTCCGGCTGGGGCTCCGGCTCCGGCTCAGGGCTACCCACCCGCTTCTGCTGTTCCTGGTCTGCCTCCCTCCAGGGCCCCTTGGCTTCCTCGCTTGCAGAGCTTTGCAGCGCCATCGCGGCCAGGGGACTGTGGCTGCTCGGGCCGGAGAAGCCGCTGTGTGGCTGGTGCTTGTTTCTGCTGCTGCCGCCACTGCCTCCTCCTCCCGGCTCCTCGCCCCAGCTGGCCAGCCTGTCCCGCGACAGACGGCCCCTCGAGCCCTCTCCTCCTCCCCCTTCCAAGCCCCCTCCTCCTCTCCCTTGTCATCTCTCTCCTCCCTCTCCTCCTCCCCCACCCCCACCTCTTCCTCCCTCAACCGGCAGCCGCTACAGCCTCTCTTCTTCCCAGCCCTTCCTCCTCCTCCTCATACTTGTGTACATACTTTCGCCGCCGCGTACCTCAACTCCCTTTCCAAACTCTTAAATCCTGTCCTCCTTGTCTAGACGCCCAGTAAACGGAGAGTTAAAATGGAAAAACGAGGGCACAAACTACCCTACTCCCCTGCCCTCTCCTCCCCTCAAGCTCCAAACGGATATCAATCAACTCCATCCCCAAGGAAGACCTCGCCCGTCCTTAGCTCCCACTTTGTCCTTTCAAACAAGGAGCCTGGAACGAGGGAGGCCCCCGCGGACCTCAGGACGAGAGCTGGCCGGTGAGAGACTCCACCGGCGTGAGGGAGTTTCTATACCACCCTTGGGCTAGAGGGGGGCGACCTGGAGGGAACAACCTAGGCTTAGAACAGACTATGGGCACAATCTTCTCGAACCCGGAGCCTCACACCCCCACAACCCTGCTTACTACCCCTCTAGTCTCTCCCCCTTCGCCCCCGCCCTTCCCGGCAAATCCCTGGCGGGGCGCAGAGGGGAGGAGGCGGCCCGGTTGTGAGGCCCGCCTCTCCCGGCAGTCAATCAGGGCTTTGTTTGCGCCAACCTGCAGCCCAAAAAAGCCTTAGAGGGCCGGGTCTGGGCCAGGGGCCGGGCCAGGGAAGGAGAGAGGTGCAGTGGCACCCGAGGAGGCCGAGCCGGGGCGGGGAAAGAGCCCGACTTAGCTCAGGCTCCTCCTCGCTGTCTGTCATGCTTGGGGGAACTAGGAGTCGGCCTGAGGTTGAGCCGCCAGATTGGACGAAAGCCGCCCGGCCCCTACTATCCCGGCTGGGCAGGTCCCTCAGGCCTCGGCCGCTGCAGTTTGGGCCCTCGAAATTCGGAGCTGCTAGCTGTGGGATGTCTTCCGAGCACCCGCACCCCTCTTCCGCCCACCTCTGGTATAAGTTGTGAGTCCCGCTGAATGTCCCAGACTAAGGGCCCAGCCCCGCGAGGGTAAGGGAGAGTTTGCTCGATTAGAGAGCACTCGGGCCCTGGGGGGTGAGGGGTGGAGCGAGGGAGAGGCGGGAGGCGTGATATGCCCTGCGGGCAGCCCAATCGGACTCCTCGGCTGTGCTCAGCCTCAGCCCTTGGGGCAGTCCTCGGGATCCCGGGAAGTTCTGCCTCCCCTATGGGCCTGCGCATCTAATACACTAATCATGAGGTCGCGGTGTGGTTACCAAGCTACTCTGCTCCTCACCAGCAGGCGGGTGAGCGTCAAGACTTTTCAACCCAGCATCTCATTAACCTTCTTGCTGGTGAAAAGACTGCATGGCCTGCAGGTCAGGGTTGCGCCAGCTGCCCAAGAACATGGAGTCATTAAGCACCTGAGAGCGGGCTGAGCTGGGCAGAAGGATAGGAGGGGCTTGTGGTCTCATGAGAGGCATCGGCCAAAATCACAAATTACAGGGGCCATGCTAGTCAGCATAGCAGGCATTGCTCCAGCTAATAGAGCACCTCCTTTATTGCCCTGAGGTAAGTATTATTATCACCAAATTTTTCCAAGCTGTAAACCTGAGACTGAACGAGGTCAAGGCGTTTATTAGACTGTCAAGGGACAAGTCAAGTACATACGGGAATTCAAGGCAGGTCTTCATACAGCCAAGCCTCACACTCCACAGGAGTTCTAGGACTTGGTGCTCCGGGAGACAGTGACAGGGAAGGGAAGGGACAGCAGCATCTGGCTTACCTATCACAGCAGACTTCTTGAGGAGGTAGTGGCTTAGATGGGCCTTAAAGGTTGAGAAGGATTTTAACAGGCTAGGGGTGCGATGGGGTGTCCCTGCATAAGAAGGACAAAGCACAGAGGCATACAAGGACTCTACTCATAGCAAGAAGTGAGTGAAAGTTAATCAGGCCAAAAGTTAGTATACAGGGTGGAGCAAAAGTAGCCGTACAGTTGTGAGAATGCCAGACACACTTTACTCTTATATTATTATTAATTATTGTTATTTTCAATACAAACAACTAAACCTACTTTTGTCCCACCTGGTATATGCTGCCTCTCCAAGAAGACACTTGCATTTTAATAAAAATCCACAGTGATTCAACCATGAGGAGTGACAAGTCATGGATATTATAGGCACTGGGGCTAGAGATTTGCTTTTAGTCAGGAGTCTCACCATACACATGACCTTTCCCAAAGGAGCCCTAGCCTGAACCTGATTAAGGGCCTGAAAAGGTTTTCTACAACCCTAGAAATAGGAATAGGCCCTGATCTTAGAGCCCATCCCACACCTTTACTGTCTAAATTCTATTTTCCTCAGTGTCTAAATGGATTTTTTAGGTCACTGGAGTTGAGGTGAGGGTGGGTGATGATACTCATTGACACACTCCTATAAATCTAGCACTATGCTACTCCTTTATATCTCATATAGTAGTCACAACAACCCTTTAAGATTGAAATACTTTGTCCCTTTCTTCTAAGTGAGTAAACAGAGGCTCTAAGGTTAAGTCAGTTGTTCAAGTCTACAAAGCCATTAATAGGTCTTTGCTCATTTGTGTGAGCTTCAAAGTATGTGCCCTGCCCAGTAGACAAGATTGTATAACCATCATCCCATCATTTTAACAATATACATAGTAACTACCCTTTCTCCCCTCTTTACAAGATACTCTGTAATGGCTAGAGCACTGGCATGAGGCCACCTGGATTCTAATCTTGGTTCTACCATTGCATACCTGTGTGATCCTAAGCAAGTTGTTTCCTCTCAGCTTGTTTTTTTTAATCTGCAAAATGGAGTTACTACCAACTTCAAAGGGTTATTAAATGCTATGCTGAGAAGTATAGGCTTTATTTTGGATACTCAGAAGAGCCACTGAAGATTTTTGAGTAGGAGACTAACATCAGATCTGCATTTTAGAAAGAAAACTGATAACAGTGTAGAAAGAAGCTCTCTTGGAAAGATAAGAGGTAAGGAAACTAAGAAATGAACCAGGTAAAAAAATGTTGATGGTCTAAAATAAGGTACTCACTGTGGGAATAAAGACAAAGGGATAGCTCTGTGAACCTCTGTTATGGTAGAGTTGACAGAACAGATCTGGGTCATGAAGGAAAAACAAGAAGCAAAGACAATGCTGACATTTTTTGCTTGAGTTACGGAAAGGATGATGATAGTATTGATTGAGATAGGTAATTAGGAGTTGAATCAGGTTCAGAGGTGCCTATGACTTCCTGTCTGTTTCCTTTTCTTTTTTTAAAATTTTCAATTATATTTAACATTCAATATTATTTTATATTAGTTTCAGGTTTAGAGCATAGTGGTTAGACATTTACATAATTTACAAAATGATCCCCTCAATAAATCACCATACACAGTTATTAATATAATTGACTATATTCCCCATGCTGTACTTTACATTCCCAGCACTTGTAGCTACAAATTTGTACTCCTTAGTCCCTTCACCTTTTTCACCCAGTCCTTTAACCCCCTTACGCACCTCCCATCTGGCAACCATCAGTCTGTTCTCTGTGTGTATGAGCCTGTTTCTGCTTTGTTCGTTCATTTATTTTTTTTCTTTACATTCCACATATAAGTGAAATTATTTGGTATTTGTCTTTCTCTGCCTGACTTATTTCACTTAACATAGTATCCTCTAGGTCCATCCATGTTGCTGCAAATCATCAGATTTCATTCTTTGCTAAGGCTCAGTAATATTCCATTGTATGTGTACCACATCTTTTTCCAGTCATCTATTGATGGGACTTGGGTTGCTTCCATATCTTGGCTATTGTGAATAATGCTGCAATGACTATAGCGATGCATATATTTTTCTTAATTAGTGTTTTAGATTTTTTTCAGATAAATACCCAGAAGTGGAATTGTTGGGTCATAAGGTAGTTCTATTTTTAATTTTCTGAGGAACCTCCATACTATTTTCTGTAGTGGCTGCACCAATATGCAATCCCATCAACAGTGCACAAAGGATCCCTTTTCTTTTCATCCTTGCCAACACTTGTTTGTTGATTTATTGATGATAGCCATTCTGACAGGTGTGAGGTGATATTTCATTGTAGTTTTAATTTGCATTTCTCTGATGATTCGTGACATTGAACACCTTTTCATATGTCTGTTGGTCATCTGTATATCCTTTTAGGAAAAGTGTCCTTTCAGGTCCCCTGGCCATTTTTTAATTGGGTTGTTTGTTTGTTTGTTTTTGGTGTTAAGTTATGCGAGTTCTTCATAAATTTTAGATATTAACCCCTTATCAGATGTATCATTGGTGAATATGTTCTCCCATACAGGGGGTTCCCTTTTCATCTTGTTGATGAAAACTTTACTGTGCAAAAACTTTTTATTTTGATGTAGTTCCATTTGATTATTTTTTTATTTTGTTTTCTTTGCCTGAAGAGATATATCAAAAAAACATTACTAAGAGCAATGTCAGGGAGTTTGTGATTTCTAGGTGATAAAAGCTTGGTTCATTCTCATGACAAATAAGTGAGGTATGTACCCTGTCAGCACTTTAAATTATTTTCCTTTCTGACTGTGGACCTTGGGAAACCCCAGTGGAAGTCTTTGGTTTATATTGCAAGTGAAAGAATGTGCTTTCTTTTTGTCCCTAACAGAAATAAGTCCACAATGGAATCATTCCAATTATTTATGCCCTTGATTACTCCTACTAGTGGGTGAACTACATCAGTGGTTCTCCAACATGGTTGCACATAAGAATCACCTGGAGACTTTTGTAAAAGTATTGACTTCTGGTCCCATTCCACACTTGCTAAATCAGAATATCTGGTGGTGGGAGCCAGGAATACATAGTTTTTACAAAGCTTTTGTTAATATTAATGCATTACCAGGTTTTTAAACCACTACACCAAAACAGTGACCCAAATTTTGGATCTGAAAGACTAGTATA